GAGGGCGGGAGGTGCTTTTCAAACATGGTAAGACACATATTTTATTACAATACGTGGATCTTAAGCTAAATAGCTTCTAACATATTAAAAATTCCGAGATTTCCGCAAAATAACGTATAATTCTATTAATTAATGTCATCATCATCATTACAGCCCTTCACAAGTCCACTGCTGAACATAGGCCTCCCCCAAAGAATGCCACAAAGCACGGTCCTGAGCCACCTGCATCCATCGACTTCCTGCATGTCTTACCAGGTCGTCACTCCATCTCGTGGGGGTATGCCCTACACTTCGCCTACCGGTACGAGGCTGCCACTCGAGAACCTTTCTTCCCCATCGGTTGTCGGTTCTTCGAGCTATATGGCCGGCCCACTGCCACTTCAGCTTACTAATCCGTTGGGCTATGTCGGTTACTCTGGTTCTACTGCGGATATCCTCATTCCTAAGTTTATCACGCAGAGAAACTCCGAGCATAGCCCTCTCCATAGCTCGCTGAGCGACCTTGAGCTTCCTCATACGGCCAGCATTGAAGGTTAATTAATGTAAGTCCATACAACGATCACCATAAAACGCAATTGACAGTGGTGCTCACAGAACCAGTAGCGAAGCCTCCATAGAAACCGAGAAGCCAGGCTTGCCCTATCAAACTGCTCAATCAATAATATCAACTAATAAAATAACTCGTTAACTGTTTCAAACTATTTAAAATTTCCCGCGCGCTCCTCTGTCATCTACACAGGTCATTATCTCGTTATCTCGTCTCGCCTTATTATGTAACGTCAACACTTGGCAGATTGCATTACTGCGCGATACTGCTGACATAAAAAAAGGAGTCGAGTTGAGCGATTAGTCGTCTCTATCGCACGCGTGGGCTTTTTAGCGGGCTTTCTAGAAGACGATCGCTCCCTTTTTAACCTCTGGCAAAATGTTCTATAATGAAATATAACTACGATTGTTTATATAGCAATTAGTATGGAGCCATAAGCTGGGCTTTTGGTATGAAGTTAGTCGAGCGCGGGGGCGCGCGGGCGATACGTTTGCAACTTCACTTCACATTTCAATGTTTACTCTGTGTGTTTACTTGAGCGAATGAATATTGCGAGTTGAAAATTTATGCTTTTTTAAAGATTTTTAGTGAAAATGGAGGATAATAGTGTTCCTTGTGATGAATTGAAGTGTATTAAAGTGCTAATCGGCGAATAAAAGGTAAAATCTTTAAACTTTGTTGAGAAAAAACAGCTCATATATCCACATAAAGTTATTGGTACAATTAAAACGTTCACCAACATTTCAGGCGGACGTTATCAAATCTTTCGTTATAAAAAAGAGACGATTCCATTTAGAATATAATTTGTTTTTTAAATTTTGTACATAGTTTTTTGAACTTTGGGGGCGTTCAAGTATTACGTAACGCAATTTGGGGGGAGGGGGGGTCTTATAAAACGTTACCATGCGTTACAGGGGCGGGAGGGGGTTTTCCAATAACGCGTTACGTAACGTTTTTTTTTTATTTCAATAAAAACTAGGAAATTAAAATCTCCCAAGTTGGCAACCCCTTTCGTTTACGTTTGACGGGGAATCCCTCGATTGTATGGTACGTCATTTTTATTCTGTCCTCCCAAGTTGGCAACCTTTTTTGTCTATGTTTTACGGGGAATCCCTCGACTGTATTGCGACTGTGTTCTCTTTTAATGCACCTGGAATACAAAGTACTTTTACCAGTGGCGGATTTACCAGCAGGCTGAGTAGGCTGCAGCCTAGGGCGGCAGATTTTAAGGGCAGCTAATTTGGGGCTAAAACTTTTTCATTTTTCACTTGGTCGATAAATTTTCCTACAATTTGCATTTGGTTGTGGCGCGGAAACGAGTGACATAACCGTTCGCTAAGTGTGTTTTGATCGAATGCCTGCCCTATGTAGTATATATAGGTATATAATATCTATGGAAGTAGTAGTATATATAATATCTATGGAAATGCTGATGAATTGACTAAACGAGCGAGGCGCGGCCGCCGCGGGAGCCGCAGCAGGATCAAACTGTTGAAGGCGTACGCTGCGTGTTGGCATTGAGCTCGAAACACATCGATGTATTTACTTCAAAATCAAAAGAAAAGCTGCCTCGGTTGAATCCTGGTGCGATTTCTAATACGTATTAATATTTCTCTGGCACAATTTTTTGGAAAATTACCTATTGGAAAAACGGTCTGAAGAGGGTTCTTGCCGTAGTATGATAATGCCGCAACATGTCTGGTGTGTGTACAATGGCTAAAATTCAAAGCCAAGCACCTTTTGCTTTTTTCGTTCCTTGCTCTGTCCTCTCTTAAAATTTAGTGGCAATTTCATGAACGCACATCGTGGCAGAACTTCCGATATCACCCACACCATCTGGATGATTGGCGGTCCACCACTGTGCGATTTAGAAGATGTTTTCTTCCTCGCACAACTTCCTTGTGGAATCGATTACCATCAGCGATTTTTCCAGACCAATACGAATTAGTGACCTTCAAGAAAAGAGTCTACTCCTTTTTAAAAGGCTTGCAACTGCAATTCCCCTGGTTCCCCTGGTGTTGCAGTTGTGCATGGGCGGTGGTAGTCACTTACCATCATGTGAGCCACATGTTCGTTTGCCCCCTCAACTATAAAATAAATGCGACTGCTAAACACAGATTTTTTTTAGATTTGCACAGAAGCTTGTCGCTTCGTCAGTTCTTTGAGGCGAAGTTTAGGGCGATCCTTCACTAGATGGAGTGACGACCTGGTAGGATATGCAGGTAGTCGATGGATACAGGTGGCTCGGGATCGTGTTTTATGGCATTCCTTGTGGGATGCCTATGTTCAGCAGTGGACTTATGAAAGGCTGTAATCATGTTGATTAGGAAAAACTCAATTTCAGCACGCTGAAGAGACAATTGCTAAGATCTGGAGGGAAATGAAAATTGACAGCTATGATGTTTCGGCGGAATATTGAAAGCCGGAAGATAGCTTGCAGAATCCCGCAGAACCTAGTCTGGCATGGTATAGGGCTCACGTTCGTGAATTGCAATATTTCTTACAAGTGATTAAATGCGCGGATGAATCTTGCTGTTCCCGCTGCAGGAGTGCATTGAAATCTGTCTTTCCAAATTCTTTCCTGCTGCCACCCTGCCCAATCCTTCAAACCCCAAGCAAGCTCGTGGTACCTGGTCAGCTGGACAAAGGATCATGCAAGTTTTCACCACTTTTTTGAGGTTGTTAGATGATCTGTCGCCTTTTTTTGTTGTTTAAGCAGATGCTTTACGATTTATTTTGCCCATCAGTACAATCTGACCTCAAGAACAGAATATGTGCAACATGTGGGATCTATTTCACATCTCACAAGAGTTTCATGGCAAGACTGCCCAAGACCGTCGTAAAAATAGAGTACAGTCACAGCGACTGCTGCCAGAAGGGCAAATGAGCTTCTCTGCAATGTGCGATGCTGTGAAACATCGTCTGAGTATGCCGATTGGCTTGACGAAGACGAAGTTGATGCAAGTGGTTTAACAATTCCGGAATCCGCTCCGTCTGCTCTCCAGATGCCAGTAATGAAAGAGTCTGAGTGGCCGGCAAACCCGTGGACAGAGGAATAGTAACTCCAATTAAATTGATCTTTTTTTACATACCTACGTATTTTAATTATGGCTGTTTTTATTTTAAATTTTTAGCTAAGAATACAATTTTATTTTGACTAAAATGTTTTATTTCAGTTAGGTTTCCATTGCATTGCCAAAGGTTAAAATAAATATGTTATTTTATTTTAATAGTTTATTAGTAAAAAAAAGCTAAAACAGGAGAATGCATGAGAAGACCTTGGTGGATTAAGCCAAAAATGTATGTGAGGAAAGGGCCAAGTCAGAAAAAACGGCGTAATTAAATGAAAAGTTAGCAGTAAAAGTTTATTAGGACGAATTTTAGCCCATTTTAACATATTTAAAACTTAAGCAAATGTTTATTACATTATGTGTGATTATTTATAAATAACAATATGAATAAATAAAATAAACAATATACGCATCTATTATGATTTTTAAGAGATTTCTTATCTCTTGTATTATTTATTATTACTGCAAACGCGATTAAAACAATAACAATGTTATTTTAGCGACTTTCCGGTACTTTGCACAACATAATTGTGACTTTTAGTTAAAAATGGTCACTTGGGTGTTACGTAACGTTTAGGGAGGGGGAGGGGGGGGGTCCAGATAAACGTTACGGCGCGTTACGTAGCTGGGCGGGAGGGTCAAAAATCTTCAAAAATTGCGTTACGTAATACTTGAACGCCCCCTTTGTTCATGCTTTTATTTTGTTCATGAATTGTATTGTATGTAAATATCTTTTTATTTCGCTCAAGCAAACCCAAACGGCTTTTTCAAAGCCATCGAAGGTATGCAATTGCTGATATGTCATACAATCTAGCAGTAGTATGCCTTCTGTGTGCTTTGTTAAACACTTCGACAGCACTGAATATGAAACTAAAGAATGGAGACAGATCAAGATTGGTGTATTTTTATAAAACTGCTGAAAACAACAAAACCATATCTTGGACTTGCACTAATTTGAAGCCTTAGCTTCGCCACTGCACAGAACACTAGCGTAAATAGGCAACATATTGCTGTGTTTCATATCGTGGATGATGAAAACTGCAGAACCTTTTACTCGTAATGAGGCATTCCATTTGTCTTTAAGGGATAACAGTGTACCTGCATTTTCCATTCTAATTCGGGACAGATATAGGGGATAATGTGCCCACAGCATCCTCTTACTAACAGGTGGATAGTTTGCTTAGTCTTGCGTGCGTTGTCACCCTTACCTATATAAAGAGCGGTAGCATGCTGAAACTATAAAACCAGCAGTACATCTTCTTACCTCTGTGGTTCTTCACTGGTATGACAGGGTTCAAAATCACTGAGCGGTCTATAATATGGGCTATTCTTTGAGCTGTACATACAACTATATACATAGGTAAATTAAAAACTCGATTTACCTTCTCTCCCGTAAAACCAGCCTCACACTGACAGTGCCCAGTGACATGATGACAGCCAGCTCCATTAGCACATTCACAAGTTTTTTCACACTTATCTCCCCAGCGACCTGCAGGACATCTGAAACAAAATTCATATATTTACATATTATATTAAAATACATACAATACATTTTTACATGTGTGGTAGAGTCAAACTGCCTCGTTGTCTAGTGGTCGAAAGTAGAACTGCTTATTATGAAGATTCTGGTTCAAATTCCGAGTCGTACCAAAAATCTGGTGTCGGGCTTTTCTGCCAAGAATTCTCAATGGCAGCCCTGAGTCAGGAAATTGGCGGTATTTCATCACCGTGCCTTAAAAAGCAGGTCCGATCAGTCAAAAGGTTCTGGGACTTTTAATTTCTACCAATTTCCTTCTCTATCCCTTCATTTTTTAGCATTTTTGGTGCATATTCATTCATTCATCATTCCAGTAGATCAATTTTTTTTCTGTTTTCATAAATTTCAATCAGTCTAATATTCGCGAACAAATAAAATTCGTAGTTACCTACCAAAATTAAAATTGAGTCTAGTTATTAGGTATTTTAACTTAGCCCTACAATAACTATGCACACACGATATGTGCCGACAGGCCGGTTGCTTATAAAGTAGTAGTAGGTAATTAAATCAGTTCGTTTGTATGGTGTAAGGGGTGTGGCATAGCTACGGGGGATCCGGTGAGCTACTGCTGTGCCAAAATGCTCGTACCGGTTGATATTTCGAGAGCTACAGCAGATCAAAAATATATTATGACAGATTTGTCATACTTACTTATTAGCACAAACTTGACCAGTCCAGCCGGGAGTGCATTCACACTCTCCTGTGACAAAGTTACATTTGCCGTTATTTTGACACCTACATTGCTGCTTGCAAGGCTCGCCATTGGGACATTCTTCTTCGCACCTAAAACAAAAATGAAAATACTTAAGCTACTTCTTTGTTTAACATTTATCTGTCATATGTCACAGCTAAATATTAACAGTAAATTTTACTATTTTAACCTGTATATGTAAATCTAAATCTATACGAATGAATATCGAAAAATCATTATATCTCGAAAGATTCTGTTTCTAAGTATATTTGACGGCTCCGTGGCGCAGTGGCTTAGCAACGAGTTGTAGCGCTGGGGGGCGCGGGATCGAATCCCGCACGGAACAAGTATTTGTATGGCCTACAAATAATTGTTCCGGGTCTGGATGTTTCTCCTCGTGCAATTTATATTTGTAAATTGCCTTTACGATATAAGAGAAAATCCTAGTGTGGGGATAACGTTTTTTTTTAAAAGAAATAAAAAATAAATAAAGGAATAAGCCCTTGCGAAAAGTCTGGTTATCGACTTGTTTCGAATACAATTATTCTATATGTACAAATACGAGTATATGTCATTTACATTTAATAAGGGATGACCCCTTATCGACATAGTGGGGGCGTAAGAGAATCCATCACCGCATTTCGGAGTATGAGTTGTAAAAGTCGATTACGCCAAATACAAAGAAGTCATCTGACTTAATATGCATGATGCCAAATACTCACACGGGCCACGTGGATTAGCGGCAAGATGAAATACAGCTGGTAGATACTTCTATATACAATATCGAAGCACCAGCTGTTTTATATACATATATAAAAAGAAAAATGTGATCCCCTGAAGGCATTAGTACTCACATTTTTTATACTTCTCACATTTCATACATTCTAAAAGTTACCCTGAGTGCAGTATTCACACCATAACACAATGTCACTTCTGCAGTGTACTTACAGCGACTGATTGACTGCCTAGTTTCCCTAGTGGTCATAAACGCGACTGATGATCATGAGGTCGCGGGTTCAAATTCCGGGTCGGTCCATAGAAAAACATCAGTTATTGAGTTTTTCTGTCAAGTAATTCTCAGTTGCTGCTCAAACTAAGGAAGTTGGTGGTGTTTCACCCCCGTGCCTCGGAAAGCACGTAAATTCGATGGTCCTGCGCCTGATCTCTCCCCGGCCGTGTCAGTTTATGGTCCCATAGGACTTTGAGTGACGGAATAGAGCGTACATACTTGCGTATGCACTCGGGCACTTTAATCATGTCCTGCGCATATAGCTAGTCTATATTGAGGTTGGTCGCCGTGACCGAAATTCGGTGTGGAGGACATTATTATTACTTACAGCGGTCCGGTGAAGCCGGGCGCGCAGTCGCAGGCCCCGTTGGCCGGGTCGCAGGCGGCCGCGTTGCGGCACTGGCACTGCTGCTGGCAGCCGTCGCCGAACGTGTCCGGCGCACACGGCCGCTCGCACGCGTCGCCTCGCCAGCCCACGGTGCAAGCGCACTCGCCGGTCAGCGGCTCGCAAGTGCCGCCGTTCAAACACCGGCAGTCGTGCTGACAATTTCGACCCCATTTGCCGTTCGGACACGCTGTGCGGAAATAATTCGGTTTGAACAGAATAATTTCGTTCATTTGAATTTCATCATGGCGACTTATGTCTTTAAACTGTAACACAACACAACCCTCAAACAAACGAAGTTCTAGCGTCCGACGAATGGCGGCATATGATATTATAACCACCCAAAAATAACTTTTAACTTTAAAAGTTATACCTAGTCGTTATTCAATTACAGTATGGCGATCCTATAACCATATTATAACTGTTGTAATTGCTATATAAGCTATTAACTATTTAAAAAAAAACGGTTACATTGTCGTCCAGAAAACAATGGCATGTATAGTGTATGTAACCATTATTTTAAATATTAATTGGGGCGTGTAATTTGAAACTTGAAACTTCTCGAAACAAATCGTCAGCTAAAAGTCTTATCGGCTTATCGCGACGATTTAACTAAAAACCACTTAATAGCATTTGCTCGGTAGCGAACTATAACCATATTAAAATTTACGTAAATTAATTTCGACTTTCGTTCATATTTAAATGAAATGTTATAAATTATAATATAACACATAGTTATAATTCCATTATATAAAGATTTTTTTTGTTATTTTCATAAAGTTCAATTCAACTGAATATAAATTTAAACAAACATATCTCAAAAGGTGGTGAACTTGATTTAACCGATCATGCGTTGATAAATACCCATACAGTATTGAGGGGATTATCGTAAATTTCTACGATCATTGCTTTTACGTATTAAAACCTTAGGATTACAATATTTTTAAGTGTTATACTTTTCAGTAACACGGAGGGCTTACCACCCAATATTTTATAAATTCACCCGTGTATAGTGAGGATACCTTATTAATTTTTGACGCTTATTTTAAGATAAAGAACTTTCTAATACCGCGCCAGCTGACGGACATTAACCTGGATAGTTTTAAGATTGGTAAGCGCAAAGCTGAAAACAGGTTTTGCATTGATTTTTAGTAGTCAGTCAATCGGCAAACCCTCGTCCGTCCAAATAGCTATGATATCTTTATTTACGTACCGTTGTTATTTTTTTCTTTCTGTAGGCGATGAAAAAAGTTACATGAACTATTATAAAAAAATTCACACTTAAATTATTCAAATTGGTGAAGCAGATCTATGCCGCGTTAGGTACTTTGATCACCAAGTCAATCTTGGTTTCTTAATTGGGAGAGACATATGTCCAGAGATAAACTGTTACAGGATAAAAAAATTATATATATATATATAAAGAAAAGAAGATTTTTAACAACCAATGAAAATCTATATCATCAGATAAATCACAATTTTGTTTGTACGAATCACGCTTCAGACAGTAACAAAATTGGCTTCAATTGAGGTACAAAAGTGTAAGGGCGCGTTTCATTCAACTCACATATGTCACAGGCCGGGCCCCCGTATCCGTGATCGCACGCACACGTGTTTGGTGCGACGCACTTTCCGTGTATGCACGCATCCACGCACACAGGCACACATTGCTTCCCCTCGGAGTCTGGAGCGTATCCCGCGCAGCATTCTTCCACCGGCCTATGCTTTACCAGTGTCTGTGTTTTAAACACCTGACGAAACTTAATCTTGTACTTGGAACATCGAGGTGGTACACTGAAGCACCACGTGTAATGTTTCTCTTGATACGGCTGCTGTTCCGACACCCGTATTGTCGTCGTGTAACTAGAAAAAAAAAAGTAATTTTAATATACAGTTGAACGAGCCAAATCGTACATTTTTTGCTGTATTAGGCCTTTTAAATAAAACTAATTTTACGGATTTTTATCGCGTATATTAAGTAACTCTGCGTAAATCGAACCAAAAATTAATATTAAAAAAACTGAAGGTAGCCGGGCTAACTATGACATCAGGACGTCAAACAGCTCAGTCCCCCCCGTGACCACGGGTGCTGGAAAGCACCCGAAACGTCGGGAATATAAAATAAGTTAATATACGCGATAAAATCCGTAAAATTAGTTTTATTTAAATGTGTAGTTTTCGCGTAAATATAAGAAATCATTATCATCAAAAAAAGGCCTAATAGCCTTTTTTTTTTTTTATAAAACTGAAGTAACAAACACGCTTACAGCCCTCCTGGTATCAAGTGGCTACAGCAGTCCATGGACTATATAAGACCTCTTCAGACCAAAACACTGCAGAGCAAGGTGCTTTTATGTGGCAGAAATAGGTGAGAGGCTGGTATCTATCCAGATATGTATTTATTATTATTGAAAATATGTAAAAGGTACCTTATGTAGAGCAGACTAATTGACCGCACGCTACTCTTATTGATATTGACATCCCTGACATACTCTGTGTGTAGCCATTTCTATCAGTGAACCGCACAACATCATCATTACAACCCATCACAAATCCACTGATGAGCATAGGTTCTGAGCCACCTCAATATCCATCGACTTCCTGCAAATCCTATCAGGTCATCATTCCATTTTTTTATAGGATAAGGGTGACAAACGAACACACAGTCCACCTGATGGTAAGTGGTTGATGTGGCCCATAAACATCTACATCTATCTATACAAATAAATAAACCGTTGTCACCCGTGAGGACTAAGATGGAATGCCTCTTTTCCAGTAAAAAGGGTCTCCGTTTCTCTACACTCACCATACGAAACACAGCAGCATTAAGCTGCTATTTTACGCTGGTATTCTGTGAGAGCGTGGTCCTTCCCCGGTCGAGCCGACTCTTTCGTGCTACAACTATACCAGTATTATAGCTGCAGCGTGGCTCTACCACGTAAAAAATCCCATCTAGTGGAAGGGGCTACACTTCGCTTAGTGGTACGAGGCTGGCACTTGAGCGACTTACATCTCCATCATATTGTCAGTGATTTTAGCCGGTTCATTGCTACTATTGCAGATATGTCACGCGGAGCAACTCCAAGCATAGCCCTCTCTATAGCTTCCTGGGAAACATTGAGAAGGCCAGCAGTGAAGTACCATGTCTCAGATCCATATGTTCTTTTTTTATCATTGGCAACACACACTAGTTGTACACTGTTGTTTTCGAGTTATGAGGAATACGTGACGACACCCGTCATTGGATCCGTCGGTTAACCGAAGTTGGACTTAGCTGCCTTAGTCGGATAATATGACAGCACAGTTAATAAAAAGCTGTTACACTAGTATGTCTGTGATACCTAAATTGCCTAGTAAACGACACGGTAGTACGTAATTATATCAAGATTGCAAGGGTAAAAAATAGGAAATCAGATTCATTTTATAACTATGCCAATTTTACCATTTGAATGCTGAATTTCAACAGTTTTTGAAAAAAAAGAACATCTCTGCTAAACATAACGACATCAAGGTTTTTGTCCCTATGTGTTTTGTATTGATAATTTTGATACGGAACACTAAAAAGTGTCCGCCATCAATTGCCGCTAAAAAATCCCAGGATATTGATTGCAAAAACGATGCCAAACCTTCTGCAAGCAGTTGCGATTAAAACTCATCTAAGCTCAAGACGCTTATAATCAAACAATATAAGCTCCTAACATTTATTTAACAGCAAACCAAGAGACGAGCAGCAACGTCTTCTTAATAACAACTAGAAAAAAACTGCGGTTTCCAACTCGCCTGTCAAGCGTAGCAACTATGGCAAATATCCCCCCCTTATGGGGAATTCTAAGGGGAGGCCTATGTCCAGTAGTAGACTAGACTTTGATGAGCCGTAATGAATGAATAAAAAAAAAACATTTTTGAAAAAACCTCAACTGTAACTTTTCGAGTCTTCTGGTGAGTCTTCACACAGGTACATGCTTGATGAGCAAGTTTGATCGAACATAGCAATCTGCCAACATGGTGGATTTTGTGACTACGCGTTCATTTAATGTTCTATAATTTAGCGGTTGCATCACGGTTGAGCCACTGAACGACTTACTTAAAGTTAAGTAACTTAAGTTTTACTAATTTTATTTTACACCGGATCTTACTAATCGAAATTTATGTAAAATTGAATCTTGTACAATTAGAGTTTTACTCGATGGCGCGCATTAATTGGTACAAACGTTCGAACTTGCTCGAATAAACTTAAAAAGGTTGAACAAGCTTATAAGTAGAGATCCACTATACTCGTAACGGTTTTATATCTGACTTCCCGCTATGTTTGACATTTCATCCGATCCCATCTCGGATTTCAAACGAATCAGACTTTGTTTATTGTGTATTGTACACTTGTGGTACTATAATTGTCATACGATGTTAATAGCTTCTGCAAAATATTGTAAAGTTATGGCAGTGGTCAAAATTTTTTCCGATATAAAACTATACTGCTACTACAGTGAAAGATTATAAAATTTGTATCTTATATATTTTACTTCTAAAGAAAGTCAATGAGTACACGTTGAAATTCCGCAAGATAAACATTTCATACCTTGCAAAAGTAATAAGCGGGTCAATGAAATCGACCAGCCTTAGTTTAGCAAGGTAGGCGAAGAAAATCACTCGCACATCCGGCATGCGTGCACAATTCACTAGCTCATTGCACTGTATATTTATTTTATTTTTAGGCATTCAGCACTTATAAAAAAAAGCAATTTGCCAAACCATTGGCGATGACTTTGCAAAAATTAATAATTAAAAGAAACCTAGTGTTTTCTTTTAATTATTAATTTTTATTATGTTATATATTATGTATTAGTATGAAAAAGCCTTTGATTTCGTCCAAATTTGGGTGTTGCTGCAAGCCAAGTTGACTGTCGGTATATCGAAGTAATGAAGTGTTTGTACAGTAGGGCTACTTGTTCTGTACACGATGGATATCCGAGTACAGAACCAGAGTACCAAACCCATCCAACTGCAGAGGTGTAAGACATGGTGACTTTATATCCGAGTACTTCACTCACATTCGATTTGCCGACGATATAGTCCTAATGGCAGCATCGCTGGAGGACCTAATCACAATTTTCAATGACCTGAATAGTGTTTCCCAAAGGATAGGTCTTAAGATGAACACGGATACAAAAATCATGTTGTGTAACGTCCATGTCACACCTACGCTAGTAGTTGTTGGGAGCACTACGCTCAAAGTTGTTGACGAGTATGTTTACCTGGGACAAGTAGTACGACTAAATAAGTCCAACTTCGACCGAGAGGTCAATCGTCGAATTCAACTCGGCTGGGCACAGCGTTCGGGAGATTACGATACTTCTTCTCGTCAGGTATACTTCAAAGCTTGAAAACGAGATTGTAAAACCAGTGCGTGTTGCCAGTGATGACTTATGAATCTGTGACGTGGTCCTTCACTGTTGACCGTATGAGGGAATTCAAGGTTTCTCTGCGTGATAAACTTAGGAATGAGGATATCCGCAGTAGAAACAGAATAACCGACACAGCCCAAGGGATTAGTAAGCTGAAGTGGCAATGGGCCAGCCATATAGCTCAAAGAACCGACAACAGATGAAGAAGAAATGTTCTCGAGTGGCAGCCTCGTATCGGTAGGCGAAGTGTAGAGCGGCCCCCCACTAGATGGAGTGACAACCTGGTAAGACATGCAGAAAGTCGATGGATGCAGGTGGCTCAGGACCGTGCTTTGTGGCATTCCTTGGGGGAGGCCTATGTTCATGTTGGCTGCATCCGGTGTACTGTACTGAAGTTCGTTTATCACATACATAAAATAAACTTCATCATCATCATCATCATAATTACCAACTTAAAGTTATGACTTAATTTAAAATAAAAAGTTTCTTACGAATTTGCTTTTACTTTTAAAATATCGGTATAAAATTTAGTGTTGTTCCTAAAACGCAATTTATTATGTTTTTGTGGAAACACACGAATATTTTATTCTTTAGACCTGCAGGTTTTCTCAAGATGATTTTCTCCAGCTCTAAGCACTTGATAAATATTTTTAGTCGTTAAGTCATACTGCAGCTATATTATATACTAGCTGTGCCCGCGGCGTAGCTCGCGTATACAGGTTTTACATAAAGAATTTGTCGTTTAGGTAAGAGAATATTAAACGATTTATTTCATTACTGTATCAATAAGTGGTAACTAAATAAATCATTATCATTAAAGTTCTAAGTCGTTTATGATAGAGCTTCTGCGTAAACGACGTTAGAAGTAGGTTTAGCCGGGGTGTACACAAAAAGGTTACGGGGGCTACTAACGTGGGAAAAAGCAACATAGAGTTGGCCATGTGCAAAACAGTCAGTACTGAGGTACACTCCTACAACGCGTAAAGTTTGACCTTGCGCTTTATTTACGGTCATCGCATAACACACGCTCACTGTAACTGGGAACTGAACGCGCTTAAAACTGAAAGGAAAGTTACTTCTTAATAGAGGGTTTTTGGGCAGTGCTGCCAGATAAAAAAAAAACTCATTCAGCTCTAGGACAACACAAAAAGCGCTAGATTTCATGAAAACAGCGCTTTAAAAAAGTCCTAGATTTCGCGCTAAATTAACTACAAACAAATTTGTGTTTTTTTATATAATCATAATAAAGAAATCAACATTAAGTTTTTTTTCTGGCAATATTTTTTTGATGTATCAATACTTCGCAGGACATCGACTTATAATTATGGCAATTGCTGTCAACAGTAGTTAGTACTGTACGAACAATAAAAATGTCATTAATTGTTTTAAAGTGCAATGTATTTCGCAACTTAGTTTCAGATGTCAGCATCTGATTGCGGTTGCTACACAGTTTCTTTGTGT